GAGGGAACAATCACCTCCCTGTCCCAATTTCAATTTCAGCCCTTTGTACATCCACATTTCTATATCAAAGTGCCCCTTGGCTGCCGTCAGTCTCACAGCAGCAACACATAACAGAACGTTGGTGGGAAGGCTCAGCCTCTGCTGCCATACCACCAACATCCTCCTCTGATGTCGTGGGCCAACAGAATAAAATAGGAGGCATTACTTTTGGAGCACAACTTCTGTATCTTACTTGTCATATCTGTATCCTGCTACCCTCAGTGGCTCCACTGCTGTGTGGCAGGGATGTGAGAACAAGGTGGGCAGTAGCTTTCGCACTGTTGTGCAGTGCTGCAGCTCACCACCAAAGCAACATGCTCGTCCTGCTGTTGGTGGCCAGCAGAATCTGCAAACACAGGGTGCTTGGAAATCGTGAGGAGTCATTAATATTTCCTAAACCACAGCTCCTCAAAAAAAAAAAAAAAGAAAGAAAATTTAGAGGCATTTTGAAATTAACCTCACAACTTCTGTCAATCTTCCTCCGTTGCTGCAAACATCTCTGCATCTCAGCAGCATCTATCAGACGTCACTATGCTGCTCCTGCTGCTGTGCCCACACTTTGACCTCAGTCTTCTCTCTGTAATGATCTCATTTGCTTTTCAGTTCACTGTGCAAAAGTTCTGAGGTGATATGCTCCTCCATTTAACGTTTCCACTTCAATCGAAAAGGGGTAAGGTTTTTAACACAAAACCATGTAAGGTTCAAATGATAGGAAACATGTGATGGCTGCTTGTACTCCTCTGACAGAGGGTGTGCTGCTGAACAGTTCTGCCCTCCATCCTACTGAGTAGCACGGGCCCAAGCAGAAGCTTGCAGGCTGAGTTGGAGGGAAGGGGCTCCCAGAACTTTGGGAAGCGGCAGTGAAAGAAGTTTAAAATCTTCCTTTGTTCTCTTTGTTTGGATTTATTTGGAGCCAATTGCACGTTCCGTTAATCTCTGGGTTTGTAAGTTTTGTAAATACTTAAAAAAAACCCCTAACTTCTAGATCTAAAAATGCTGGGAAAAAGCTGAAACTGTCAAAAGTAATTTCTCTGCCAGATAAAATGAAGAAAAATAGGAAAGCAGCAATAAAAAAAAAAAAAAAAAAACAAAAAACATTATCTATATATACAAGGATACAAAGGAAACTGATGCTAAAGAAGAATACAGAGCAAAAGGCTGATGGCTCCCTTGGTAACACTTGCTGTTTTTGCTCTTAATAAAAACAAATTATTTCTGAATTTGAAAACATGAGGAATATTGGATATAGACAGAAATCAAGCTAATCAAGCTCTGATGTCTCTTTTTTTTTTTTTTTTCAGAAGCATTTTCATTTACTCGAGAACCAAGAGAGAGGATTCTCTCCCTCTGGTCCGTGCATTCACACAGTAGGTGGCAGTAAGAAACTTCATCAGTTGAACCAGTCAGCAAACAGAATCCACTGCAGTTGGATCTCTGTTGTCACAGTGTTACTGAACCCAGCTGAGACCACAGCCTCCTCAGCCTGATCTGTTAATTGCTCAGTTTTGGTACTACAGCAGTTCTCAGGATATTATTATTTGTTTATCAAATAAGATAACATCAGATTATTACACATATTGTTACATCAGCAGTGCTAGGGCAGTTACACCCAGCCAAAAAAACAGGCACTGCTTTTCCAAGATGTATGTAAACGTGTTACTTACAGTTTTATGTTAATGCTTAAGTCCTCTCTGTTTCTTTCGTTGGTGGTGGTGGTTCTTTTTTTATTTTTATTTTCTCTAACTAAGCTTGTAAGTAGGTGAATGAATTCTCCAATAACTTAGCCCACAGACATCAATCAGGAACCAATCTGGAAACATGCAAGATGTCTGCAGCAGGAGAAAAAGTTGCATTAAAAACACTGGATTTTCAGACACCGAGATCAACGTGTTTATCTTCAGCTCCACTTGAGCTGTGATTCAGATATTTGTTAATCCTAACTTCTTGAGGAATTCAGTTAAGCACTGCTCAGCAGCACTGCTCCTGCTGTGCCATACCCAATGTCCCCACCACAAAGCAGAGGTGGTGGTGGATCCCAAACCCATTGAGAGCCCAGCAGGAGAGGCCTGGTGCTGCTTTCACACAGCATCTCAAACCTGGACGTGTGCAACACAACAGGACAGTCAGCATTTGTCTGTCTTACACACATCGTATGAGAAATGTAGCTCTCCCTAACTTAATTAATTTTCCCGTGAGCTGAGGATGGTCACTTGGGAAACATTTAATTTCCATAAGACAGAAAGTGAAAGTTTTATAGTGCCACGTCGCTACTTCCTTTGTTTTATGAAAATTCCATCAGTCTGACAGAGTTCCTAGAAACAACAGGATGGGAGCCTGGGAAACATTTTGTGCATCATGGAAAGGAATGCTGAACAGACCATGCTGGAGCCAACAGACCCTCCAGAGGGCATACACACTTCTTTTCTTTTTCTT